GCGCCCGCCAGTCGATAGATTTTCCCAATAATTTTCCATCAGTTCGAGGAATTTCGCCGTACCGAGAAGCCATCGCCTATATTACGTTCTCTTCTTCCTGGATTTTCGGCAGAATGGAATTTAAAGTGGTTTCGTTATTCTATTTTTTATTTATTTATTTATTTTTTTTTTTTAGCTTTTTGAAACATTCGAATTTTTTGTTGAGATTGATAAGATTTTTTGAGAAAATTGATATTGATTTAATGAGAAATTGATAGTTGATTTGTTGGAAAATAGATCAAGTAGTTATATTATAATTAATGATAAAATTCTTCGATTTTTTTTTTTAATTTTTCATAATAGAGTTTTCAATTTCGATACTTCAAATTTTTTTGTTTTTAGAAAAAACATTGAAGCATTGACTTAGTGATCCATTTAAAAAGTCTCCAATTTTCTTTTAGTTTTAATAATAAAATTTTTTTTATTTTTGATATTGCCATTAATTGATTTATAGAAACTATTAAAGCCAGAGAAAATGTTTAACACTATTAAATTTCTAGTTAATTATTAATTAGTTTTAATAAACTTTGAAGAAGATAGATTTTAAAATTGATAGAATTCAATATTTTTCTTTATCGGCAATCTAGAATATAAAAACAGTTTTCAATGCTGGAGATGAAAGATATTTTTCTTCACTATCTCAGGATATTACTCTTCCTTATAAATCTTTTTACTATCTCTGAATATTGATACGTGCAAAATTGAAACAGAAAAATAAGATCGTCGATATCTGTTTACATAAATATGCACATTGCTATATTTCTACGATAAGAAATAAAAATAATATTGATCGGTATTGATTCACAATTCTCTTCAAGATGGTCATAAATATCTCAATGTTAATTTTTTCTAAAGAAGAAAATATCTTATATTATCTTAGTGAATCTGTTGAACAGAAAGATTGCCCTTTCGATGGTTATACGTCATTCTCAATTGAGAATACTGTCCCTAGAATAATTCTTTGTAAACAACCTATTACACAATCTGTTATATTGTAATTAATTATTTGTCGACACTCATTAATCACAAGCTCTTCCAAGAGAAAGAGTAGAAATTTATGAGACGCGTAACAAATACTATTTCGATTTTTAAAATCAATTAACGAAAGTGCACTTAATTCTTATGTTAATATGAAGCTATCCAGGTATCCCTTCACTTAGCATAAAATTAAAAATTAACCAATCTCTTCAAAATATTTTCAAATCCATTTTCGAATTCTCCAGTTATTTCACGCGAAGTTACAACAACTTACATCAAAAAATCCCATTAGCAAAAAATTAGCGAAATCAGAAATCTGAAATTGAATGTTTAAAACCTTGGTCACCGAGGCAAGAATTAAACATAAATCGTCCTGGAAAATGAAATTTCCCCACCGTCCATGGTCAATCTAAAAATCTATTGTAAAAACAAGATGATTAATGGAAGGGGCGAATTTCAAGCCGCGGTGGCCATCGTTTCGATTCGAATTAAAATTTTCATCCGTGTTCGTACACACAGCCAGACGTCCCGGCTAATTAAACACCGGTAGTGATCCTGGATCAGGCGAATCGCGCGTGTTTCCGTTTGTGAAAATCGCAAACGAGAACTTTTTCCATACGTGGTTAGCCTAGAAGGGAGGGGAGAGAGAAAAGGGATCGTTTGGATTGCGGAGGGTTGAAAAAAAAATCCAAAATCTCGCCGGTTTTTTAATTACATGCCTCCTCCCTCGTTTCAAACGCACGAACCGATGCATGATGTACGATGTACGTATATACGTGTGTATGCACGCAATGTTTCCGATTAAATCGCGTGTGTCCGCGAAATTCCGTCGATCTATCGGCGACCAAGTCAGACGAATGCCACGAAGATGTACTTCAATAAAAATTTTTATTTAAATAATATAAGAATCGTAAGCATAGGATATTTGTTTTCTTTTTTATGGAAAAAATTTTGTATGGAATTTTTTTTTGTCGTGGCTTGGTTTTTGCAGGAAATTGAATAATTCAGGAGGCGATGATTATATATAACGTTATATAGAACGTAGCGTGTGAAATTTTTAGACTTGAATTGTAATTGTAGGATATGTTTCATTATGCGTGGAATTTTTTTATTGTTAGGTTAGATATTGTATGGGGAATTGAATAATAGGTTGTTGTAATTTGTTGTGAGAAATGCTGTGTGTATCAAAAATTGAGAAAAATTGATGCGCGAACGATCTCTTCTTTTATTATTAAATAAACTCAGCCAAATACATGTTAATTTTTGACTCGACTACGAGTGTACAATAAAAAAAGAGTAATACATATATATTTTTGTATTTATATATATATGTAAAAATAACTGAAATACGTAGCATGTAGCATGTACTTTTTTCTCATAGAAATCCTTGTTTTCTAAAAAAGAATCCATTTTGAACATGTTCAATCAAAGCTTTGTCAGATATAGTATACTACATATATACTCGATGAATTTTCAAATTCCATTTTCTTTGAAATGAGTTTTTATGTGAACATTTCTCTCTCTCTCTCTCTCTCTCTTTTTCTCTCTTTCTCTATATTTTCAACTTATTTTTCTAAAATACACGTAAAATAACTTCACACATACATAATATAATATATTTCAGTTATCAGAAAATATTTTGAATCTTTCGATATATCTAATATTTTATATACACGTGTTTTTCGTAACATATTCCATCCTTTAAAACTTAAATCCGTACTAATCCTTTCTTTTTTTTTTTTTTTTTCATTCATAGAACGGAATGTACCCACAACGATATATGCGAATAAACAACGAAACTATCCGCGTTTGTTATTGCGTTTACAGTGTCGACAAAGAGTTAACCGTTCAAAGCTGAAGGTTTAACGATGAACGCTGAATTTACGGCTAACGAATTGCGTAATTTCGCTCTCGACGCTTAAAATCGGCACACACACACGCGCGCGCGTGCGCTCACACATACACGTGAATACGCATTCCGCATCGCGTGACAACTATGCCTGACGTTTCCTCGTTCTACCGTGAAATAATTTCCGCATCGGTTCGGCCAAATCGTTGTAATTACCAACGCGCCGTAGCTTTGTAAAAAATCATTTACCATCAATTTTCCCTTCCATCACGTTTTTCCAAAGAATCAATACCGAAATATA